AAAAAGACAAAAAGAATAATAATAATAAATAATAAATAAAATACGTTTCAACATGTATACCTGCAACATCAGCACCATCAAATTAATGAGCTTTCCACCACCCTCAAAGTTTTCTTGCACCCTCTGTAATCTCTCCTACTTTGACCCCACCTTTGTATCAGGCGGGCACTGACCTATGCGCCATACAGGCGAGTGCGCATGCGCCAGAGTTTTGTATAACTAGGAGACCGCACACACATCCTTTCCCCTGGGCTGTCACGCAGCGATCCACGTGGCGGCGCCTGTCGTTAGTCCCTTCCATTGTATGGCTAAGCGGCTTTCAGGCCACAAACAAGCACCAGTTTGTCCAGTCACTTGTTCTAGATGTGCGTGCAGATTTTGATTTGAGCTACTCCAGGTACAACTGCTGTAAGCATTCCTGTCACGTGCAAGGCTTTGCGTGGACACACGCTTTCATTTCCATTAGGTGAGTTTTTACAAGTGGGACGCTGGGTGGCAGAGAGGTGTAATTTCACGTTTTAAAGAACTACCAAACTGCTTTCATCCCTCCGTCCCTTCTCCTTTCTCTTTCTTCTCTGCAGTGCTGGGATCACCATTTTCCATTTTCTCTTCCTGCTAGGCATGGGTCAGGGTTCCATCCGAGCCAGCATTGGAATGGCACATCTTCCTAACTTCAGTCTTTCCAAGAGCATATCAGTGTCTCAGTGGGGTTGTAATGTGCATTTTCCTACTGTGGGCCTGGGACATATACTCTCAAACGGGCCTGGGGACTGGCTTCCTAGGGTGCTGAGGACACTGGTGATTGGCACCCAGAGTATCCATGGCAACACCCAGGTGGGTGGAGGAGAGGATAGTGAGGCAATGGGTGATCTCTGGGCTGAGAAACTGGTACAAGGGGGGAATTACCGAGACTGCGGAGCCTGCTGGCTCCCAAGGGTACATGCGGAGAAAGGGACAAGTTAAAGATAGTGATGGTCTCTGAAGAACCCCTAGGAAAGTCAGAGTCCTGCTGGTCCCCATCCTCTGCAGCTGCAGGAGAGGAATGGCTGAGGCCAAGCCCAGGTCTGACCAAGGGCTGCAGAGAAATGTGAACCTTTAGATCCCTGTGGCAGCCCCCACCAGCCGCCTCCTGCAGAAACATCTCTCAGTGACCGCACCCAGGCAGCTCCCCACACTGGACGCTGATCGCCCACTGCAAGGTTCCTTGTGCCTCGGGCCATGGCAGGGCTTGATCCCAACCTGTCACTGATGAGAAACCTCAAGGAGGCTGTGGCAGGACCCCATCCACCCCCACTGGCTGGAGGCAGGGAGGGTCACGGTGGAGATTCCATGGTGTCAGGAGGAAAAACTTATGAAAAAGGATTTCAGGTTTACTGCACTGGCAAAAATGCATAGGAGTGGTGCTCACACCTGCTAAGTGGGGGTGGCCCAGGGTCTGCACCCCCAGGGGACGGCTGGAATAGACTGCATAGATAAGCTTCCTGCAGTTCCTGTGGGTCACCTGATGGGACAAGAATGGGGGGTGGAGCCTGGACAAGAGGTGAAAAGGAATTATCCACCGTGGCCCATCCCCCATGCCCCCAGCCCCATTACCGCCACTGTGTTAGTTAGCATTGTGATACAGCACCTGACAACACGATTTCAAGGAAGAGAGTTTAGTCTGCCTCACGACTTCAAAGGTTGCAGTCCATGGGCAGCTGGCTCACGTTGTAGGCCTGTGCTAAGCCAGAGCACCGTGGCAGGAGGAGGTGGCAGAGCAAAGCTGCTCACCCAGGGGCAGCCAGGAAGCAGAACGAAAGGGGAAGAGCCAGGTAGGAAGGCCAGGGACAATATACAAGCCCCAAGAAGCCACTCGTGTCAACTAGGCCCCACTACTTCCCAGTAATGTCATCAAACTGTGGTCTCACAGTGGACAGAGCCAGCATGATCCTGTCACCCCCGGAAAGCCCAGCTCTGCACACACGAAGATCTCAGCCATGATACCAGGGTTGTTCAGGGATGCGCATGCCCCCGTGCTAGCACCGTTCTGAAGTTCAGCTCAAGCAAGGTCCCCCAGGCCATCTCCTATTACTAGGTGTTGATTGGGGACTGCCCACTCCGAAGCTTTGGGGAAGCACGCTTTCTTGCCTTTTGCAGCTCCTGGAGGCCCATCCCGCCAATCTCTGCCTCTCTCAACATGGCCGTTCCCTTTCAGCAAGTGTACCTCTTCTGTCCTGCTGGGACACCAACCGCTAGACCTGAACTGTGTCTGCCCTCTACACCAAATCCATGTGATGGAGCCCTATCTCCCAGTACCAGCAAAAGTGCTAGACTTGGTGACAGGGTCTTTAAGGTATTAAGTGACA